GCACTGGAATTCACTTTCAGGAATCCTTGCTCCTGGCTCATATTCACATAGGCCACTCATAAGAATAAGACGTTCAACTCCCTCAAACACGTGTAATTGAGAGAGTCAGAATATCAGTGCCTTGGGTAAATGTCTACCTTCGGGAGAATCTTACCGAACGACTTTAAAACCTGTCCTCTTCGCTTCCCAAGAGATTGGATTTAGGTAAAAGGGCCTTGTCGGCCACCGCTTTTATTTTCATTCATTTTTCCTATTAAAAAAAAAAGAAAAGACCCCCGCTCGAACTAACTTTCAACGCTCGAACTCCAGAACGAAACTCAAGTCATTGCTCATTCCCGCTCATGCTTGCTATAACAATTCCCTTGCCTACTAGACTTGTCTAAGAAAAGATGCACGAGCCACTCTTTCTCTTATATACGGTATTTTAAGATAGTGATTTGAATGCCTATCCCCTGCCTATGCTAAGCCTTTACTACCTACCCTTACCTGTCCGCCTTGAACTACTGCGCCTGCGCATACCTTTTCTTGCTCCATCCAGAAGGTAGCTTGAACTGGCATTGTACAGATAGATAGCCAGTAGAAAGAACTATTCCCAAGCTGGAGAGGTGGGAGAGGAGAGAAATTGAAGTGGATCTCCTATCTATATTCGACAGCTTGAAGAGGGCGGATTTAGAAAGCAAAATTTTCATTGAAAGCGATTGTGCCTACCACAGTCAAGTTCGGTATTTACTAGCAAGGAAAAGGGTAGGATCTACCAAGACGGGTGGCATGTGAACCGCTTTGGAGTGAATCGGTTAAGAACCGCAGATGGCACATCGAATCCCCGCAGCCACTTTGCTGAGTTGATAGATAGATAGATGAACTAGCCCGAGGACCAAAGGAGAGTACTTCTTTTGCCATTGGAAGCTGCTGTCAGTAGGCATTCTTTGCGCCAGAAAGAGAGATTGTATTGTAGCTTAACTTCTTAAACAAAGCCGGCTCCAGTTCTATTCAGAATAGGGCAAGAAAGCGACTTGCCGCCTCAGTCACGAAGGAATACCGAAGAGCCTAAAGAGGGTGTTAGAATGCAGCTAGATAGAGAACTATAAGATAAGAGGGATTCCATGGGTGAGAAGGCTGACATGAAGGCTCTCATTCCAAACCGGTAAAGCGCAAGGGGCAAGCAGTTGACTCTTTCACTCGGACTCACTAGCAACTCCAGGAGCGACCCCTCATCATCTTACGATGAAAAGCAGGTTTATTCCGTGGTAAACCACAACGAGTAAGCGAGATAGGGTGAGGTAAAGCCTCAGACCGGTCAAAGGAGCCTCCGTAAAACCTCATCAGACAGGTAGCGGAAGCTGATAGAAAGGGGCGATGAGCTCAGTAGAGGAGAAGCCGTCCTGATGAAATAGAAAGCCCTAGCTATGAGTGACTCAAATCTAGCCGTGATGCGCGAGGGCCAATATTCAAATGAAAGCAAGGGGCTGATTGCCCTCATGGGAAGGGATGAATACGAGCAGTCGGAAGAGCAGCTCTCTCAGAAGCAACCAATCCAAGAATTGATGGATTTGGTAGAGTGCCAGTCACAACACTAGAACCAAGTTAGGTGAGCTTGAAGGCATCGGTTGAAGCCCTTAGTTGCAAGGTCTTTGACTGTGCCCAAGAAAGGGATGGATAATAGATCTTAGATAGTTCCCACTTCCACTTAACAAAGGAAAGATATCACACACTACACAAGACAATCATGTGCAAGCTGCTTGAGTTGAATCAGCCTCAATTCCTCTCTCACTCACGATGAAAGCTAAGAGCTTGCTCGAAGACAGCCTTTACTTTATAGTTGTAATCTATCCTATCCTATCCTTTAGGCGGGGATAGGTTCATAGGAGGACTTGGTTACATAGGAAGGAAAGGCTTAAACTAGAAGGGATAAGAAAAGGAATTTGTGCAACACTCTTAGTAGAAGGCCGAGTTGAAACTCCCTCTATCCGCGTACAGGACAAGCAAGTTATTGAGGGCTCTTTATGCCAAATACTTTGACACTACAGGGGAGAAAACCAGAAATCTCCTAAGCAATAAAGATCTTCCTATTGATACTAGCATTAGTGCGACTGGCTCCCGGGGAAAAGGAATTACACTAGATCTTGGCAATGGCACTCCAACAAGCTCGGCAGGGAGAGAAAGAAGAGAAGGAGAAGAGGAAGTACGACGAAAAGGGTATGAAATAGGTTGCTTGTAGCGATTTCGATTGCTTATTCGGTTGGGATTACCAGCCGACTTGCCTGACCAAAGAATAAGATAAAAAGAAGAGTTCCCGCCTACGGCTACATGCCCATTCAGAGCTATACCTGGAGTCGAGCTAACTGCATAAGAAAAGGGGAACTTTCCTAAAAAGCCTAATAGCAATTAACCGCATTGGAAACGACGAATCACACTCTGAAAGGAGGCACCCTCCCTTATTACGTTACGGTCGAACCTCGCCTTTCTTCCTTCCTCTCCCGTTGGTCGAGCGTCTTCAAACCTTCGCTCCAATACTTTCGAACAACTCTCGTACCCTTCGCTCATAAGCTAACTAAGAGCATGCCTTCGATCCGGCGTGAACTCTTTGCATTGCCTTTAGAGTAGATGTAGTAGATTGAGATCTCTCGACAACCGTAAGAGGTTAAGGTTCCAACCTGGGATTGTAGTTCAATCGGTCAGAGCACCGCCCTGTCAAGGCGGAAGTTGCGGGTTCGAGCCCCGTCAGTCCCGACGCCGGATTCAAAAAAGACATCAATTCCTCTCTCCATTTTCTGTGGACAAAGAGTAGGATCTAATTTCCCAGCAGGAGGATCCTTCTTTCGTTTCGCATTTCTCATCGGACAAATAAAGTAAAGGAATCCAAATGACAATAACTAGTAACGGGGATAGACATATGTAGATTGGTACAATCGGGGGTATCACCATATTCAGGATTCAAAGAGATACCGTACTGGTCGAGCTTTTTTCGATTGTTCCTCCTGGTCCATCGAATAGAAAATTTTGTGGTATATCGTATAATAAGATCAAGGCTGCACGTGAATCTGACTCTAAAATTTTTAGGAGCCTCTTGCTTTTGGTGAATTACCGGTGCTTAATGCAATAACCGGTGAGCAGACTTGCGACGTGCTTACGCCATCGCGGACGTCCGGGTATGGATTACTGGAGTGAAGGGATTGGCGCGAACCAGAGTGTGCTTCGAGACCATCTTTCTCTCAGGAAAAACAACGAACAGGGGACGACCTCGTTCCCGAGTCTCATCAATCTCAATGTCTATGGGTCCACAGCCCGATTGAAAAAAGTTTAACATCCTGAACGAACTTCTTTCCTTAAACCCTCGTAAGGTATCTCTATCACTCGTTACGCCGAATCAATCAACAAGCAACCATAATTTTCTATCTTCAACGCTTCAGGCAGGTGGCCTAGCTAACACAGCAAGGACTTACACCATATACTCAGTGCCCCTAATAGATGTGGAATTAGACTTTCTCTCTTCTATTTTTTTTAGACGGATATCGAACTCCTTCTTGGATTCAAAAAATGTGGGAATAAAGAGTATTAACAGAAAATATTTCATCTTTCCTTGATGCGGCAATAAATAGTCCTGACTTTCCTGAAAGCTTACTAAGGTGCGACGCCTGATTGTGAGTCTCATAGCCATACGAGAGCTTGGAATTACACCCTAGAAGGAGTTAGTCAAAGCCTTC